TTTTTTTTTTTTTTTTTTTTTTTTGAGGGGGGGGTTTGACAACCCTGATTTTCATGGACACTGTTTTCTGGTACTGCTTGCTGTTTTCCTCTCTCCATTTTGTTTTAATCTTTTCCTGTGGCTGTCTTTCTCGTGTCGTTTGCCAGGAGGATAGAGGGAATCTTAAAGAGAACAAGTGGAAGAACCGACCGACATTGCTTGATGAAAATGCCCTCTTCACACGTGCAGTGCCGTTTGGTGATGCTGGGGATCTCTTTTATCATTCACCCAGCAGCAGGATTGGAAGCTACTACAGGCAATATGCCCTTACCTTTCCTTGTTGCCTTAATGAATGAATTATCAATCACACATCTCCTGCATTTGCCTGATTTCATTTTCTTTTTCTTTTCTTTTGTCCAAAGCGATATTTTACCCTTCCCATCCATGCTTCCTTTGCTCTTTCTCTTCCTTTTATGCAGCAGTGTTTCGTGCGAAAAATGTTTTTAATCTCAACCGGCCGGTGGGCCAAGAAGTCTGCATACTTGATCAGCACTGTAAAAGGTTGTCCGAGCTCACACCCAGTTTTTTTTTTTTTTTTGTTGTTGTTGTTTCTTTGTTTTTGGCTATATTGCGAGGATCTGGGTCCTCGGCAGGCCTAAGGGCCCCCTGTTGCATACGTGCCTGCACTAAGTGAAGGCGGGCCTAACAAATCACGAGAGGCCCTCGACTGTCAATTTCGTATTTGGGGGTCCAGACAGTTGCGACGCGCCAGTAGGTTAAGGGAAATACAGGCTGGGCAACAAAGACATTCCACGGCCTTCTGGGCCTTTCCAAGAATGCAGGCCCTGGGCGAGAATCGCAGCCTCATACACTCACAGTTGTGAGGCCCAACCGAAAGAGGCCCAGTAGCTGCAACACAAGCGCAGCATCCTGGGGCCTACCTGAAGCTTCTGGGCCCAGGCCAGTGCAGCCAGGCTGCGAAGGCAGGAGACGCTCGTGGGCTGCTGCTGGCGCTGAGAGGTGAGGTGCTAGCGTGTGCGGTCGTGCAGGGAGCAGGGCGCTGCTGAGGGCAGCGCCATAGCCCAGCCTCCATAGCTGGTTGGGCTTGGACTACAGTGAGGCGCAGGGGTGGTCTTTGGGTGTACAGAGTGAAGACGAGGAAGTAAGACAGGGGAGAGAGAGAAGGATGATGATGATGATGATGTGAGGGCACATACCTGGTATTGGTGATGGTCTGCATGGGCGACATCTTCAAGTACTTCGGAGGCTGCTGACGTCAACAGTTGCATTGTCAATAAGTAGGCAGAGAGTAGCTGTGTAGGAAGTAGGTTGGGTGCCGAGCACCAAGTAGAGAGATAGGGCCTGGACACTCATGTTGGTGGTGGCGAGAGCAAGCTCTCATTGACTGTTGCATACTCGTGAAACACAGTCATAAGTATGGCGCAGATTCCCAGAACCGACCAGATAATACCGAGTTGATACGAATACAGTGGAAGAGTTGATACCCATGGACTGACTCTGACCTGACTCGGACTGCAATCGAACACTTTCAATCATTCATCAGGGGTGTGAAAGCCCTGGCCTTGGACATAGACGAAAGGCCAGGGTCTGAGATCATCCACGGACGAATGGAGGGAGGAGAGAGACGAAGGGAGGAGGAGAGGGAAGATGACGTCAACTCAATGTTTCCAGAGATAGTATCTTGAAATGTCAGAGATGGCGAAAGTCCGAAATGTCGTGAATACAGTGTCCCACAATGTCTCAGATATCGATCTCACAATGTCAAGTACATCTCCAGAGGCAGATGAAATCAGATCCCACAAGTAGTCCTCAACCTATAGTCCCAATGTCGCTGTCTCCAATGTCATCAGAATTCGTAACCATCTTTCATACTCGTAGTAGTCCCGTAGGAGAACCCAGAAGTAGACTTATACTGAGAAGGTAGGAGGAGAGAGAGAGAG